TTACTATGGAATAAAAAGTACGGGGTGTCTATTTACATTTAGTTAAAAGTGGCCTTAAAACATCAGCTCCAGTGGTGCAGGTGGATAAGCACTTAGCCTTGGCTTTTTGACGCGATCGACCCGGGTTTGATCCCACCTTTTTTTTCCTCTCTTTTCAAATCTCGTATTAGCAATGGATTCTATTTACACTACGTGAAAATAGCAGTATTTTTTTTTTAGCAATATGCTATTTACACTAAGTGCAAATACCTAGTTACACTGTTAAAATAGCAGGATTTCTACTATCAAGTATACTACTTGTTGCAAATAGTGGCAATTATCTGCACTTCAGTATTGTAGTACATTATAAAACAGTATGCAATAATAACGTAAATAACGTTGAGTGTAAATGATAATTTTAATTATTACATGGATGCCACCTTATTGGTACAATAAAGCCCTCCCTACACCTACCCTAACCCTACCCGATACTTTATTTTCAACTTTTTGATTATTTCCTTAATTTTTATTGAAAATAAATGCCTTTATGATGTGATACGAGATTTGAAAAGTGAGAAAAAAAAGTTCGGCAAAAGGTGGGCTTGAACCCGGGTCGATCGCGTCAAAATGCCAACAACCAGCACTTATCCATCTGCACCACTGGAGCTGATATTTTACAGCCACTTTTAACTAAATCTAAATAGACACTCCGTATTTTTTGATTGACAGATGTCTCGTCCAGTCAGTGGTGAGTAATCCCAAACCAATGGCGCTGTCTCAAACTATACCTACCTTTTCCGGTTTGTCTGAATTGTCGTTGTGTTTTCTGAATTGTTAATTTGTTTTCGGATTTGTCGTTGTGTTTTCTGACTTGTTATAATGTTTTCTGAATTGTTGTTGTGCTTTCTGAATTGTTTTTTTGTTTTGTAGACTTACATTTGCGTTTGTAATTTGTTATTTTGTTTTCAGAATTGTGATTTGTTCTGCACCTCTCGGCCACCGTACCATCTCCTAGTGCGCGCAACGACCATTTGAAGACTGTTTTTACTGTGAAATCATTTTCTTAATATTTACTCTATTAGGGCCACAATAACAAATACAGTAATAAAATCAATGTTACACATTTAAGCCAAACAGTGAATCTTCACTGCTTGTCAATAAAAGCAAATATTTTGTATAAAGTTTTGACCTTTTTTTTAATATTAATGTTTTTGTATTATAATAGATCAGAAATATTGACTTTGATATTGCATCTGATCTGTGTGTATGCGTTTGATTTTTCAAAAGAAAAAACTGAATCCTTAATGAGACATCAAAAGGAAAAGTGGTTCATACAAAATACTGCATATTGTGCTTATTTTTCTATATGATCAAATGTTTTCTTTCATGGCTGTGGGTTGCCTATTGTAACCATAATTATCCTGATGTAAGAACAGTGTTACAGTAACAGAATTCTGTTTGTGATACCTTCAATTCTGTGTAGACATAAAATACCAAATATGAGCTGTATTAATATACGACACCTCTAACATTCTGGTGTAAGGGGTGACTTGTTAAAAAGTTGTGTGGTAGATAAATATATGCCACTTCAAATGCACATGTACACTACCATTCAAAGTTTTGGGATCACTGATTTTTTTTTTCTTGGAAAAAAAAAACAATTATTTAGCAGGGATGCATTCAACTGACCAAAAACAAAACATTTAATGTTATAATATATTTCTATTTTTAAATAAATGTTTAAATGTTCTTTCTAACATTGATAAAAAACAACCACACTTATTTATATGAATCCACACTACATTTAGCAGCACAAACATTTAAGATATATATATATAATATATTAATAAATTACATTTAAGATATATTAAAACAGAAAATGGATATTTTAAACATTTCATAATATTACTGTTTTACTGTATTTTTAATCAAAAAATGCTGCCGTGGTGAGCATAAGAGGCTTCTTTCAAAAACAGTATTACTGACCGCAAAAATTTGATTGGTGTGGAAAGTGCAAATACACCTTTAACGTGTGTGCACAAGAAAACACATATTTCTATTTTTAAATAAATGTTTAAATGTTCTTTCTAACATTGATAAAAAACAACCACACTTATTTATATGAATCCACACTACATTTAGCAGCACAAACATTTAAGATATATATATATAATATATATTAATAAATTACATTTAAGATATATTAAAACAGAAAATGGATATTTTAAACATTTCATAATATTACTGTTTTACTGTATTTTTAATCAAAAAATGCTGCCGTGGTGAGCATAAGAGGCTTCTTTCAAAAACAGTATTACTGACCGCAAAAATTTGATTGGTGTGGAAAGTGCAAATACACCTTTAACGTGTGTGCACAAGAAAACACAAGAGTCTCTGTCTGGTTTAAAAACTTTCTCTCAGTAACTCTATTTCTGTATTAATGTACAACCGTTGAAAATTACAGCATCATGTTTTTCATTTTTCAGTTTTTTTTAAATGATCTAACTATCAACAGCCATTTCCAAGGAAGAAAAAAAAACATGAGAAGAAAGCAAGAGTGAGAAGGAAAGAAGGCAGAAGTTATAGCAGGAGTAATGATGGGGGAAGAAAAGAGTTAGACTGTTTCGGTGGAGTGTTTTGAGTGTGTGCGTCTGTGTGTGTGTGCATGTGTAATGTCAGCTGATGTGGGGATGTGAGAATGCAATGTTTGCATATGTGAATCCTTGAACATAATCATGCTATTCTCAAACCCTGCTGCCGAGTAAAGATTAGAAAGCAAAAAAGGGGCACTGATGAAGGAAAGAATGAACAAAAGGGAAAAAATGCTTTGAAGATGCTATAAATGTGAAAAACAGAAAGGAGATGGACAAAACGTTACGAGATGCAGAGTAGACTTTTGACAAAAAAAGTGGAGGGGTATCTTTGGAGAGAAGGGACCAAGACAATTGAGTGAAGAGTGAGCTCAATGTGGATTTGATGGACGGATGTTTAGGTGTCGTGGAAATCCTTCAGCAGCGTCCGTCTCTTCTGCTCAGCAATGTGCATCTGATTCTCCAGATCCTACAGAGAGAGAGAGCGAGAGAAAGAAAAGAAAAGAACAGAAAAAAAAGTTAATTTTTTTATTTTTTTATTCAAGTGTTCATGTTCACAACTTTTTCTGGTTTTTGTTCCATCTCTCACCCCTCTATCGTTAGCACTCGGCTCTCCTCTCTCATAACTGTCTGCTCTCTCCACTTTCCATGACAGGTTCTCGATCTCCGCCTCCAGCTGCGCTTGCTGATACTCAAACTACAGGGAATAAAAATGAGATTTCCCATTACCAAAGACTGATCTCAAATAAATATTTGACCTTCGATGAAAGATTCGCATATTTACTGCAATAGCTTACCAATTTTTTGCGGGGTCCAGACTCCATGTAGTAGGCATAAGGATAAGTGTACTGCAGTGTGTAACGACACTATGGAGAGAGCAAACAGACAGCATAAGCGTGTGGAAACTTTATGCATTAACATTTGTGCCTGCAGAATAGAGCTGCAAGATATCTCAAAATAACCAGAATTGCATTATGTCTTATGTCAATTATCAAATCACAAAGGCTAAGATTTAAACAAATATATATACTCTGTTTCAGAGTGAAGCATGGCACTGTCATTTGACTTTTGAGTAGTGTTTTTGGTTTGTTTCACAGTAAATGCAGCTCTAAATCACACAAACTCCATCTCCGAATCTGTTAAGTTTGGGTCGATTAACTCACATTTGGGAACGCAACATGCGCCAAACATCTTCCCAAACTTATAATGAGAAGTACTTATAAACTGGCAGCCATGAAAAAAAGAGAAGCTTTAAGATTCCCCTCTAGTTTTCCACCAAA